TCATTGTGGTGTACAATCTCCTAAAATATGTTACAAAATATTGTGTTAAGCATACAGCATTCAAATACAAATTAAGTAAAGTTGGACTTCTATTTAACGAAGTTGCTAAATCTTGATAATAAGTTCATTATAAAGAAAATTTGTTAAACAGAAAATCACTTTTTGAAATACTTAAACAACACAAAACAGGTTTTAAATTCATAAACACTCGACATAATTAAAAAAAAATTATACATCTTTATTTTGTAAACTAGTATCTATTATTTATTTTATAAATCTTAACTATAAAAGAAATCTACATGGAAAGCAAGAATAGAGCAAAACATTATCCAGTGTTACACTATCATGCTACATGCATTTTCAACTAAAAAAAAGCTAAATTTAAGTATAAAATTACAGCTGCATTTATTATAAAAGTAATTTTAAACATACATTACCACATGCGTTCTTAAGTTGAATTGCTATTGATAAAATCTGTTAATTTTGTCTGAGTTTTTCGTTTGAAATGCAAACAAAAAGGGAAAGGAATTTTACTGCTTTCTCAAAAGGTGGCTGTGAAAATCAATTCAAGCCCCCCCCCCATAAAATGCATTAACAAGTTTGAAATGTTCTGAAATAATTTGGGAAATATGGAAAGTGGATCTCAAAGAAAAGTTCGTTAAATAGTAAATTCACTTCACTACTTGGAAGTTATATTATGAAGAAATTTCCAAAAAGTTCTTGGCTCCTCGAAAAAAATCACAAAATGGAAGTTTGTTAAACAGAAGTCTGACTATATTTTAGACAAATTTCTATGTTCAGTGGCTTCTGATATATTTACATATGTATAAAATGATGTATCCATACTTAGAGTAAAATGACTCGAAAGTAAAACTATACATGTAGTATAGAAGCTGAATTGCTGTTAATTAATTGCAACATTTATATTTTAATTTACACTTTACATTTGGTTAAAATATGATCTTCATCTTTTAATTTACAAAAAAGGTCTAGAAGTATTAGCATATTGTTGTTAGATAAGCAGAATTTTAAATTAAAAACTTAACATAGTTTTGAGTGATCATAAAAGTTTTTGTGACTAAACATTAAAAATCAAAGATAAATTTGGATACATAAAATTTTCCCGCAACGCTCAAATTTAGTCATTTAGGCCTATCGCTAGATAATAAATTTAACTAAGAATGAAAGTAAAAATGCAAATTCAAAGTTACTTCATGGGTGAATTATAATATACGAAGACAACAGACTGATTTAAAATTGTTCAAATATGTTTCAGTTAAATTTTTTTTGTTTGATAAAATAATTAACACAGCAGAATACTGTCTTATCTCATTGAATACCCAAGAACTTTTATCTATTTTTTTAACCTATATTATTTAGTCTTTTATAACTAAGAATATTAGTTTGTGAGTGGATCCTTGGCATCAAATTTATGACTCAACCACACAATTTTCACCAAGAAGTGTAATTCACATTTGTAGTGTTGTTTCTGGGTTGAAGATTGAAATTAGTAATCAATATGCTACAATTCTTTCAAAACTTGAAAATTCTTTTTCCATTTTCGAAACATATGCTTTTTAAAAGTTAGATATTATAAAATTGCAATAATGATTATTATTAAAGAATGGTGTTGATATTGAATCTGATTTTGCAGATTTGACTTTAAAAAGTGGCTGATATTATTAGTGGTAGTCACTGTAATAGAGAAATTTTATAACAAGTACTATACATGAGGAGAACTTTTCTCACCAATGAGCATAACAAAGTTTAGTGCATTAATGGGAAAAAAAGATAAATTGTCATTTACTGAAAATTTTAATAAATACTAGAACATTTACCATCTTTCACTAGGATTATCCTTAATTAAATGCTGATCATCAACAATAAGTTGTGCTATACATTTTGAATCTGTAAAAACAAAAGATGCAAACATAAATAACAGTTTTAGCTGTTTAATTTTATATAAACACATTGCTTAATATATGTCTGATAATTTATTAGATTATTTTCTAAATTTTTGCGCACAATTTAGCTGATACTTAAAATAAATAATCTTCATCCTTAAAAAATGTCAGAAAATTCATATAAGATAATATAACTCCTTAGATTAGTCTTTTAAAGCAAGTAAATTAAAGTAGATACAAATTATTTTCATTTTTAACGTTCCCATTTTAATTGCTAGAGTATTATTGTAGAATTCTAAGTGTAACAGAGGGGAAATCACACAGGTATGTTATCTTAAAAAATGTATTAAATATAAGTGAAAACAAAAAATTGTGCAATAATATGCTACTTTAAGGTGCAATGTTTAATTTAATTGCCTAAAATAATAAAAGAGCCTCATAAATTAATTGCCAGGTAATTAAAAGCGTCCGTAACAGAGGGGACAAAGAAAACTGTTAGTTTCGCTATATTCTTTGATTTGGAACATCCTAAACATTATTTGTAATTTTCTTTCTAATTATCACATTTTAAGGTAAAATAAATTATTATAAGACTTTTTAAATTGTTACACATTTTTATTAAATTAAAAAAATGCAATGTAACAGAGGGGACATTTTGCAAATTTGACAAATAGTTACAAGGAAATATCATGCCATTTAATTAAACATTGCACCTCAAAGTAGCATATTATTGCAGAATTTTTTGTTTTCACATATATTTAATACATTTTTTATGATAAAATACCTGTGTGATTTTCCCTATGTTAAATTTGGAATTCTACTACTGGTTTCAGTTGACATGGAATTCAACTATTTCATACTGAGATGATAAAATAAGCAATTTAAATACAGTATCAATTTATAATTATAATCTTTCATTCAAAAAAATAAAAAAATTAAAGAATGAAGTCATCTGTAATCTATTCTTTAATAGTTATATTAGATAACATAACAAACTAAGGCAAACAACGTTAAAGAGCACAAAAATATTTATAAAATACAGGCAGCTGTTTCGGATTCCCTTTGAGCAACCTGTTGCACTGATGAAGGTTGCCCTTTGAGCATCCGAAACTGTCTGTATTTTATAAATATTTTTGTGCTCTTTAACGTTGTTTGCCTTAGTTTGTATTTTAGCACAAAGGTCGCCCACTTGTGTATTTATTAGATATCATACCAAAAAACAAATACGAATCATAAAAAAATGCTCAAATAAGAAATAATATAAACTTACAGCCGTAAATACTGGAATTGTAAGGAACACTACAAGATCCTCTTATGGGATCACAGCATGTATTATTGCACTGACATTTAAATTGGCAATTGATACCAAAGAATCCCGGAGGACAAGCTGAAAAATGAAATATATTAACTTCATAAAAAGCTTTTTAATAATAATAGGTTACAGTTTTGTAAATGATATACATTTTTATAATGAGCATCTTCAGGATACATTGCCAATAAAATAATTAGATCCCAAAATATTTACTTCATGATACATTTATTTAAAACACAATAACTTTAATGCTTAATGAACTTGTCTTTTTCTTCTTCTCAAATTTAATTAAATTCCAGGCATTTTTTTAAAGATAATAAAATAAACATGAGTGGATATGTTAAAAACATTACAGTTGGAATAGTGTAGCTTTAATACAAAAATAAGTTGAAAATAAATAAATAAAAAATAATGCGCAAAAAAATAAACGCATAACAATGAAAATGTAAGTATTAATATGTAAAAACCAAAAATAATATTTAACATTTTAAAACCAGCTTCAACTACTGTGACAGTCACATAGTCAGTCTAAAGTGAATGACCAAGAGCTATATGGGTGAGCAACCCAGATAAGCAGTCATGGGTCAAGAGGGTAGGAGGGATTAGAGACTCTCATAAAATGCCACATTTTCAGATGTAGCTCCCGTGGCATGGTAAGCGAACACTGCCATAAAAGTACTTGCTTCTTTATGAAGCTAAGTGTCGGATTGTCAGCAGCTTTTGCGCTCTATCTCTGATAGACACTTTCCACAAAGTTTTATAATACTATAAACCTTTGCACAATTTCAAGGATCTGTTTTTTTAAAGTTTTTTTAACAGCCGACCCAATTTTCGGGTTTACGACTTCTAATGTTCAACTCCGCAGCCTTGTAATTTTGAACCCAATCCAGAAGACAAGAGAACTCCTGGATCAAGTATTAAGAGAAATTTCGCCTTTGTGGAGGTTTTTTTAATGGAACTAACCCATATTTGCGTTACATGGAGAGGAAGACCACGAGAACCTCCCAAGGTTAGCCTGACGGCAAAGGGACTCTAACCCGTGATCCGTCTACAACTGAGGATATTTCATGCCAGCACTGTGGTCAGTGCAAGTTGGATGCGGATTCGTATCGACCAGTAATTGGTGGGATTCGAACCCGGTTCACCTTATTCGAAGGCGAATGCTCTATCCCCTAAGCCATCACGGCTCAAGGATCTGGTTTAGAGCTAATCTAAACAATGGGGATATGTTCCACCAGAAACAACATTCTATTTTAATAAATAAAATTTTTTTTTAAAATTGTAGCACATCATCGAAAATTTAAAAATAGATATAACATATATAAAAGCATAAATTTTAAAGCTCTTTTTATTCCATAAAACATAATTTCTCTTTTCTTTTATTACATTGGTGAAAGTTAACTTTTGAAAATAAATTTCTTCAAAATGGTAATTTACTAAGGATGAAAGTATAGAATGAAATAACATACACTCCTTGTATTCTTTTATGTAACATACAAATACATTAGAAAATGTATACGAGAGATAAGAAAATATGTTAATGCATTACTATTTTGATTACTAACTTTGCTGACACATTTCTCCAGTAAATCCTTTTTGACAAACACAGGTGCCTGAAACAGGATCACATCCCACAGAGTTTGTACACTTGCAGCGTGATTTGCACATGCTACCAAACCATCCTTCAGGACACGCTAAAATTTGGTTAAAAATCACAAAGTAAAACATCAAAAAGATAATTAAAATCAGTGAAATAAAAAATTTAGCTATAAAATTATGATTTTGGATCCTGTTACTATGGAATTTTGTTGTCTGCAGCAAATAAATGATTTTTTTTTCCTATTCTGTAAACAATTCTAAAATTGATAAATAAATAATAATAGAAGTTATGTTAGATAGAAGAAATAAAAAGTAGCAAGAGTAAAGACATCTATCTTATCTTTTCCTCTTCTACCTAGCTATTTTTAAAAAAAACAATGATGGCTAGTTTAAAATTTAACCAAACACTAGTGGAACAATGATTCCAAGTAATCATTGTTCATCAAAGTAATGATTCCAATTTGTCATCTTTTAATGAATTATAAAATGTAGGACATTTTTTATATTTTCGCGTAAGTTTTGTTATTTTTATTTGATTAAAAAATTTATGCATAATTTTGTTTATATTTCATACCTGTATAGAATTAAGTAGTAATTTAAATTGTGTCAATGCTAACTTCTATTAACTATATTTCTGTGTTATTGCACTTCTAATTACTGATAGCTAATGCCAAGAACCAAGCAATTAAAGAGCACATAAGTACTCACTGAGTTAGCATCGAAGACATATTTATTTTGGTGAACATGAAACCGTTATTTTTTGATAAGGTAGAAAAAAATACGTTGTTTTAATTTGATACACTAAATTTATGTGGGTTGTAATATGTTTTCATTGTGGCATTTATGTTTTAACAAATGAATTATCTTGTCAGCTCTTCCAACTTAATTTCAAATCACACACTCCAATGACAGATCTCTAACTGTAACACAGTATTACAAAAAGTAAAAAAAAGCATAACAGTTAAAAAAAAAAGTTGCAAGCTATTCATACCTACAGTATTATGCAATAATATAAAAATCATTATTATTATATTTTTTTTAAAAATTAGTAGTCAAATAAAAAAAACTCAAAAACAATTTAAAATTGCTTTACTTTAAATGAGTATTACAAAAAACAATAATAAATAAAAACATCACAAAGGTCCATTAACAAAGCAATAATGAAGATAAACAAATTTGTGAAGGGTCCGATTAAAAGATAAAATATTTTGTGAAAGGTCTGTTTTAATGAAAAGATACTTCGTGAAGGGTTCGTTAACGGACCCAAATTTCTTCTAAACAGACCCCTGGTTAATATTAAATTTACAGTACATAAACCATCTAAATAAATATAGATAGGTAAACATTAAAATTATTGAATGAACAAAAGCACCTACTTTCATTACATTCTTTTCCAATATATCCTGGATGGCAATGACAACCTTCACTCAAACAGATTCCATTATTTGAACAGTTAGTTTCACCACAAAAGAGTTTATCACAGCGTGGTGGTAACCAGTTTTCTTCACATGCACATTTACCCATAGTACATGTACCATGATGATTACAATCAATGGGATCACAGTAAGGTTCGTGAACACACAAAACTGTACTGACTTTGCGGTCACAAGAAAATGATTCATTAGGACTGAAATTAATAATAAACAATTTAAACTTATAAAACAAATGAACGTTACTATTAAACTCTACATGATCAGGGAGAATGTTTAAGAGAATAAGAATATCATCAATAATATTTCTTTTTATATAATAGTGTAATGGTCGAATATAAAGTTTATTCTGACCACTTTTCTTACATTTTCAGTTAAGTTTTTATTTTGTTTCTCCAATTTAAATTGTGACAGAATCTCAAAATTGTATTAGAATTATTTTTTATACATATACAATGCGATTTAAAACTCAGTATGGAATACATTTTGAGTTTTTTTTTTTTTGAAATTTATAAATAGTTTTAAACCAGGGATAGGCAAACTTTTAAGCCAAGGGCAAAAAAAAATTAAAAAAAGCTTGGTGGGCTAAGTAAAAACTTTCTAAAATAAAAAAAAGATATAAAAGTTTTAATTTAAATATTTAAAGAGATGAATGAAATTGCGATTTCATTTTTAAAAGTTCCTTATATTGAGGGTCCAAGTGCGATGCATTTATTTTCAGGTACAAGGCTAAATGTTTGTCTGTTAGTTTACATCTGAAACGATTTTTTCTAAGGTTCATAGTTGAAAACACTTGGTCACATAATAGATTACAACTTGTTCACATAAAATATTAGATTTGGGAAATTAGCTTTTAATAATGATTTGTAAAACTCAAACTTTGGCATATTTAGAAACAACTACCTCATATGGTTCCAATCAATGGCTATTATATTAAAGGATCAATAAATTTAAATTTGTGATTATACAGTACTTTATTTGTAATTATACTGAGTAAACTTAATTATTGCTAATGCACACATATTATGTTACATACATCAATAAATTTAAATTTGTGATTGTAAATAGAATTATTCTTACTTCACCCACACAAACTTAAATAATTGAATCTTAAAAATACATAAATTTTGATTTTGCAAAATTTAAATCAAGAAAGAGTATGTTTAAACATACCCAAAGTTCATTCAGTATAATTCAGTATTAATACATTTCAAATCTTACAGAAGAGTTATAGTAACAAATACCATTCATCATATGGGTAGTTTGCTGTAGTACCATTTATAACAAGAGTTGAGGATCCTCCTCCATCTAAATTTATAGCATTTACTACCCCAAACTCTTTCAGAAGTACTTCCATGTCATGCAAATTTACCCTAAAAAAACAAATATAGAATAATTAATGAACAAATTTGATAAAAAAAATGCATAACTTAAAGTGAAGTAATTTGTTTATAGTATGTAATATATTACATAATATTTATTACAACGCAGTATAAATTTCAAACTTAATATGGAAAAGAATGCAACAATTTAGTTTAGAACCAAGCAATGATGTCATGAAATGCAATGCAATTTGTAGAGTACTGAAGAAATACAACTGAATAAGTTAAGCAACATGGAGCTTTTGGAACAGACTCTAAATTTCTTCAACTTTTAAGAAGTTTGTTTTTTCAACGGTTGATTTTTTTGAATGACTTAATTCATAATTTTCATGTGAAGTCATTATTTGTTATGTAATAATAATCCTTTTTATCAATACTTTAAATATTTCTATCAGAAAATTAAACTACAATAAAAAGTTAAAATATCAAAGAATAATAAAATATCATTTATGATTTTTACAAGTTTAGGGAACATTCTTACTGAATGTGGTTTGATCCTTCTATTTAAAATCCACCATTGAATTCTTAATTATTAAATGCATATTTTATATAAATTTTTATTTTTAATTAAAAAAAGACCAAAAAAAAGAGCATTGTTGGTGCAGAATTAGCAAATATAGTCGGACTTCTATTTAACGAACTTCCAGTTTGCGAATGTCTCTATTTTGCTAATTTTTTGGAGGAACCAAGAACATTTTGGAAATTTCTTCGTAAAATAACTTCCAAATAGCGAAGTGAATTTTTGATTTAACGAATCTTTCTTTGAGATCCACTTTACCTACTTAAAATTACTTTGCAGTTATAATTTTAAACAGGAAATAAATACAGTCAAAATTTTATGCATAAATTTAACTGATTTTAGTTGAAAATGTATGTAGCATGATAGTGTAACATTGGATAATGTTTTGCTCTATTTTTGTTTTCCATGTAGATTTCTTTTATGGCTAAGATTTATAAAATAAATAGTAGATACTAGTTTACAAGATAAAGGTGTATCAATTGCTTTTTTAATTATGTTTAGTGTTTATGAATTTATAGCCTGTTTTGTGTTGTTTAAGTATTTTAAAAGGCGATTTTCTATTTAACGAATTTTCCATATAGCGAACTTATTATCGGGATTTAGCAGCTTTGTTAAATAGAGGTTTGACTCTAATTTGTATAAAAATAAAAAGTTTTTGTTCTAAACATTTGAATTTTTCATAAATTCATTTATTTATAACAAGGAGAGATGAAAGATCTCTTTTTGTCTCCCCTTTTCTCTTATGATGAAAACCAATCAAACTTTTCAGTTTGCTTTTGAACAGCATCATCGGAACATCTTGGACCTGGCTCCAAAAGCCCTTTGCTGTGGAAACAACCCATTAGCAAATTCATAAATGTATACTAAAAAATAAAAATATGTTGGGTCACATAACTTACCCATCTATGTTGGATTTCCCATCAATTTGAAGAAATACAACATTTCCATCTTTATCATGCCCAACAGCTGTTCTAGCAGAAAATATGCTTACAAAATTTTCCATAGGACCTTAAAATTTAAAAAAATAATGAATAAAAAAAATATTATACATTGTATCACTTAAATATCACTAATATCAAGTAGTAAGTGATAAGTAACAGCTAGAATTGCTATTTGTATAAAATAAGGAAAAAGGATGTGAAAAAAAGTTAGCAAATGTACGCCAAATAGAACTATATTTTTGAAGTGAAAATGCTTGAGAGCAATGCTATCCTACACTGGTTTTAAATCCTCCCTTATAAAATTGTCGATGAAAAAGGATAAATTTACTTTATATTCATATTAAAATAAGAAGAAAGCAAAAAGTATAGTAAAACAATAAAAGTATCACAATCACAAAACCAGCTTTAATATATATTTAACATCTAAAATAATAGCCTAGTAAAATTAAAAAGATCTTAAAACTAAATCTAAAAAGAAATATATTTTAATTGTAGACCAGCCTTTCTAACAGATGGGAACTTTAAATAATCTCTTTTACATAATAAACTAAGCACTTATATTATCGTTAATTAAATATAAATGTAATCTTTATTTACAAAATGAATCCATACTACACAGTAAAATGCCTTTAAAGCCGAATTCCTATTAAATTTAACAAATATTTTAAAATCTTAATACATCTTCCTCCGGTCTTATGATTACATCATCTTATGGCGTCAATTCTATCAAAGAAGTCTGGGTGTTGTTAAAAAAGTGTGCACTTGTCTTTTGAAAATGATGTAATGAATTTGTCTCCAGAAACTTCTGCTCCATATATATTATTTATCAATAGATTTTCCTTATTACAGTACAGAACCCGTTATACGGAAATCAGAAAACCGGAAAACCAAAAACCCGGAATGAAATTACATAAATTTTCCTGAAATTTTTTTTAAAAAAAATGTTTTTTTCCT